TTGCTGGATGACTTCCAGGGCTTTTGTCAGCATCTCAGGCTGATGTTTGAGGATCCCATTAAGGGGGAAACAGCAAACAGATGACTTAAGTCACTGAAGCAGGGTAGTGATTCCTTGCAGGACTATGTCAGCGAATTCCGGCTGCTTAGTCAGGACTCTGCTTGGAATGAGCCAGCTCTTATGGATACTTTTCAGGGCGGGCTGTCTGATGCCTTACAGGATAAACTCACGAGGGTGGACAGGCCACCAACATTCAATGCGTTGGTTCACTTGTGCCTCTGGATAGAGGCCCAGCTGCAGAGGCGGAAGCCTCGCTGTGCATCCCAGGAGATCAATAGTGTGCCGGTTCTGCAGAAGACTGCAGTTGCCAGGGGGAAGCCCATGAAGTTGGGTGCTGCCACACCCCGAGTGGCATGCACAGTGATGGACAGATGGCACGCAAAGGGGTTGTACTTTTCTTGTGGGGCTCTTGGACATTTAGCCACAGCTTACCCTAAGAAGAGTAGGGGGGCTGCAAGGTCTGAGACCAACCCCTCAATTCCAGAGCCATGTGGGTCAGGACTAGGGCGGGGCCCGATTCACAGGAAATAGTGGGTCGGGCGCAGTCCGAAACAGAGGTGGACGGGCCGCCAAGGCACCTGGTTTTAACTGGACACATCCTCTTGTTGGGTAGTTAGCAGGGAATTCCGGTTCACGCCTTGGTCGATTCTGGGGCTGCTACGAATTTTATGGATGTGGAGTTTGCTGCAGCCTACAATGTCCCTCTGTGTCTGGTGGACCCATCAGTGCCGGTCGAGACTATTGATGGACAGTAGCTTTTGTCTGGGCCTATTAAGGCTGCCACGCAACCATTGCGTTTGATTCTTGGGGAGCACGAGGAGGCCATTCAATTCTACGTGACTTCAGGCCTGCATCTCCTTGTGGTCTTGGGCTTGGCTTGGCTGCGGACACATGACCCTCAGATCTACTGATCACAAAATCTGGTCACGTTCCAATCCCTGCAATGTGTCAACCACATCCGGCAGGTCTGTGCGGTACAGGTATCCAGCTCGCCCAAGGTGACGTGCATCCCTGGGGCGTTGAATCAAAGGGCAGATTCCCTGTCTAGGAAAACGGAGAACTCTGACCCTGCAGACTCATTTACGTTTACCTTTACGTTTATTAGGACTTGTATACCACCCACTCTCAAAAGACTCAGGGCGGCTTACAGATAAAGTAGGGAGGGGGAACATATAAAAATTTAAAAGTACAAACATTAAAATTGCACAACATTCATAACATNCCCTGAGTCCCCTTAGGGAAAAGGGCGGCATACAAATAAAGGCAAACTAAACTAAACTAAACAAGAAGAAGCTTACAAGAACTCAAAGAAGCAAGTAGTGACAGGCAATCTATCAGTCCATCAACATTGAATGAGCCAAAGAGAAAGTAAATAAAACTCAGGTCAACAAAGAAATAATATGAAACAAAGAAGTGAGAAGGAAAGAAGAGAAAGAAGAAGGAGAAGAAAAGTCAGCAATAAATACTATACAGAGTAAAAAAATTAAATATAATTTATTGTATCACCAATGCTTATCCTAGCTGGAATACTTTGAAGTAAGTGAAACAATAAGATATTTACAAAAAACGGCTAGCCAAATAACTTGGAAATACTAAAATCAGTAATTAAATTTAAATAGTCAAGATTCATATTGAGAAGACTCATTTCAGGAAAAGATGCACCACAGTTTTAAAGGTCTGTTGCTTGACTACATGTATACTTAAGTGAAAGTATTGGTGGATGTTTGTCTTTGGCACGAATATGCCTTTATTGTTTGCAATCAATTTTTCTATCTTGAGAATTGCATTTAAATGTATGCAACCTGTCATGGTCTGTATTTAAAACTTTGGGGAAAAAATCAGTTAGAATAGGGGAAAAAAACTCCAGCAGACATGAAAGGAATTCATAGTAAATATTATTTATGAGCGACAGGAATAAATAAAATTAACTTTCTCCCTCAGGTCTCAATCAGATGCTTCCACAATGCTGAGGGCAAGACTGCCCTCCCCTGGTTTAAAACAATGGTGCATAGAAAAAAATGAACTGGCCAAAATGACAGAGGGAGGCTCCTGTTGATAGGGTATGAACCTAAACCTGGTTCTCCCTATATTAGAGATATGCCAATCCTGGACTGCCTGCAGCCGTCTCATAGTCATTTTGGGGGGGGGGGGAGTTCAGGGTTCTCAAGCTTGCTTCACCAAAATTCAGAAGTAAAAGAGCTGTTTTGCAGCATCAACTCTTGGTCAGTTCTGCCTTGAAATACTTTGTGAAAATTAGTCTTATACTTAACAAAGATTTGATACTTAGTAACATTAAGTCCTTGGCTGCTAAGTATAATGGCCAAGTAAGCAGCTAACAAGACTTCTCATCTTTCGGGCACTGATTAAAAAGGTTTGGACTGTTAGCTCTTTAACAACAAGAAGCACATTCAAAAGCTAGAGCCATGAAATCAATTTAATTGTTTGTTAATATACCCTGGACTAGCTCAGCATTGGTCTAATAGACTTTAGGAATTTAGTTTGCCACTTTAAATGTAAACAGTTTGCCTTGGAAAAAAGTTGCATTTTATTTAGTTAGCACCGAAAAGGAAATAATGGTTTTAAATAAACTGAGAACAAAAGTAGTCTTAAATTTGTATAATATGCTGTTTGGAGGAAATGAAGAGTGATCTTTTGCATTTAAGATTACAATTTTCAATCCTAAATGCAAAAGATATAAGTTTCAACTTTTGGGTAAATTTAAAAAAAAAACTTAGATAAAAATTGTAAAATGTTCAAGAGAGTTCCACAAGCTGAAACGCCAAAGAAATAAAATGTTTGGGCCAATAAGGCTTTAAAAAATCATTTAATGTTAAAGAATAGTGAATACACATGGAAGAAATACATATCTTAAACATAATATTGTGATAAATTGATGCAGTTATGCAGGTGGGTGACCTATAGGGGGCTCAACTACATAGCTGGGGATATCAAGAGAGGGAATTATATAGTCAGCAGACTGAAGCAGCATTTGAGTAAATTTGGCTGTAGTCTGCCAGCAAGACTCAAGAACAAGGACTAGATCAGGATAAAGCAATGCTTTCTTCATGAAGCCATATGTGTGACTTGCACAGCCCACATTGGCCAATGCAACTACCACTATGGACCTGCTGGATTAGGGGTGTCAAACTCAAGGCCTGGGGGCCGGATTTGTCCCCAGTGGTTAGATCTGGCTTGCAGGGCTGCCCTGGAAACAGTGAAGGACTGGCCCACGGTGCCTCTCTCAACAAAAATGGAGCTTGCGAGGGTCACGTGTAGCCCTTCCGAGCTCTGTTTTTGCACGTAGAGGGTTACAGGAGGCCATTGCAGCTGAAAATGGAGCTTGGGAGCCTGTTTTCGCTGGCAGAGCACCCCCCGACATGAGTGATGTCAAGCTGGCCACGCCCACCCTGGCCTCTTGAGGTCAAACACAACCTTAATGTGGCCCTCAATAAAATCAAGTTTGACACCCCTGCGCTAGATATATGTCCTATTCATCAGAGAGCGTGAAGCCTGGACCCATTAGTTCAAAATTTCTATTTTTTTCCTGATTCTTATATCATTTTGCAATTACATCAGATAAAACCTGCGGCCCACAAGTTTGCATGTTGTGTGAAAACAAGTGAGAGGAGAGGACCACCTCGTTAGCCCAGCTTACCTGTCTGCGAAGTAAGCGTTCTGCACATGGAGAACGCGCAGGTGAAGCAACGTTGGGCTTGTTTTCCCAGTTGAGATTGTATTGGGGCTTGAGACGGTGGAATCGGTTCCTTGCAATGTGTAAAGCAGCATCAGTGCTTGCAGGCTGAGACTGCACTGATGTTGTTGACCCTGAGGAAAGGATAGGAAACTTGAGAATTTGCATCTAACAGGTTCTGTTCCTTATTTTCATTTCTAATTAAACCACATTCAGAATCCCTCTAAAGTAGCAAATCCTCTAAAGTAGTGAAGAGACTTACGGTAATCAGTAAGTCACGAAGCCATACATGTGACATAATATGCCATACATGAAGAGACCTAATCAGTAAGTCTCTACCTGGGGACTTACTGAAATAGCTAATTCAAGACAAGAGCAATGGCGGATGGTTGTATCAGCAGTAAGGAACTATGTAGAAAGCAGGGGTGCTTTTCACTTACTTTCCCTACCGGTTTGCAAATGTGCATGCCTGTCCTCGCATGCGCACGGCCTTCTGTGCATGCACTTTGATCGCGTGTACGGCTTGCACGCATGCATGCAGCTTCAAAATGTGCCTAAATAGGACGGCATAGAACCAGGACAGGTGGGTGGGCCCAGCAGGGGCCGCCCCGCCCCACCCGTGATTTCCACTACCAGTTCAGGTGAACTGGTCCAAACAGGCTGAATGCCACCTCTGGTAGGCAGGCTTCAGACTCTAGAAAATCTGGAAATTCTGGAATAAGCAGCAGCTACGGTCTAAAGAGAACACAACCACAATTGACTAGAGATCTCATCTCTGCAGCTACTTCCCGTATGTGATGTGCTTTTATTGATTCCTGACATAAACAGGTGGTCTTTGACTTATAACAGTTCATTTAGTGACTGTTCAAAGTTACAACGGCACTGAAAAAAGTGACATGATCTTTGCAGCATCCCCATAGTCACATGATCAAAATTTGAATGCTTGACAACTGGTTTACATTTATGATGGTTGCAATGTCCTGGGATCATGGGATCACTTTTGGCGACCTTCTGACAAGCAAAGTCAATGGCTGAGCCATATTCAATTAATGCTACTTCAGTTATGTTACTAACTGAACAACTGCAGTAATTCACTTAACAACGGTGGCAAGAAAGGTAATAAAATGTGGCAAAATACACTTAACATCTGTCCCATTTAGCAGCAGAACTTTTGGGATCAGTTTTGGTCGTAAGTAAAGGACTACCTGTACTTCCTATGCATTTCTTGGGAAGAGATGGAAAGACCTATTCAGATTAGGGTTTAGTTTAGTTTTTTGAATACATATGAAAAGAAGTAATTTTACTCTGGGAATTCAAGCCTATAATCCAGTAATACATTCTCTCTCTCTTAGAATCTTGGTTTTGGTAAGAGGGGGAAAAAGATCACCATTTAATCAACGGTGATGGGGCATTAGGAAGGAACTGTCACAACATTCTAAGCTCTGTTTCTGCTAACACATTCTCACAAAGGGAAAACAAATAATTGTGCTGACCAATGTTCCCTCTAATTTTTTTTCAGTGTGAGCAGAAAAGTATAGTGTTTGAGCGGCATATTTTCAT